ACGTAAGAACACAATATGATACCATATCCTCTGGGAGGATGTCCAGTGTGTGTAGCACCAAAAATTGGTACCAACAAATTTTTAAATAAGAAATATTTATTCTCAAAATTTGAAAATGTGGCATTAACAGAAGAGTGTAACACTATAATTAAAAAAAAAAAATCTCTCAAAAATTAATTATAGGATTTAGGGGCTAACAAAATTTTATATCTTTTTTAGTATTTTAGAGATTAGGATATTAAGAACTTCAATTTACAACTGTGGCCCTTCAGTTAATTAACCATTTTCTTATTTTTTCTTGAGGTTTATAGAGAATGTCCTAGTAAAGGTAAACAAATTTATCTTCCATATTGATTTTACTATTTTGAACATTGATTTATAAAAAAGAGAGTTAATAATTAGAGTTCAATATTTTAAATTAGTAATCCAATTACATCTCATGCTTATCTCCTAAAGTGTATTTTTGAATGGAAAGAAAAATTTTGTAAGAGATTTTTTATGAGAATTTAGAGAAAAAAGAATTAAATTTTCAAAGAGATGAAAATTTGGGATCACAAGTGAAAGATGTAGGAAATTCTCTAGTGCATAAAACATATCAGGTAATTGATATTAGACTGTCAAAATGATAATTTGATCCTTGAAAAAAATCCTATGTATGATTTGATTGTGTTAAGCTAAGGGCATGAAACCAAATGCTACTAGAGAGATAACCCAAACATTATCTTGTGATTTGATTACATGTTTGCTTTATTTTATAATTCTTATCTGTTACATTGTGCTTTAGTAAGGCTAAGCATGTTAAACTAAATACATATTGATAAGCAATCCAATGTATACATTCTTATTTTATTATGTGCATTCCTGCTTTTGTTATCTTATATCTTCTAAGCACCTAACCACTCACTCATATTCCTAAGATAAAAGCATAATTGAGTTAATAAAATATATTGTTGAGGGAGGCAATTCTTGATTTCCTGCTTCTTTTACTTTGATTTTTCCTGATACTCTTTAGTAATGTTTGTATATGTTTATGTTTATATTCATGTGATTGATGTAGTTGATATGTGATTGATCTGTGATGAGCATGTTAGTTAGATGTGTGATTACCTTTTTTCATATGTCTTAAGTCAATACCTTAATAATAATATGTGTTTATATTCCTGCTTCATCATATATCTATCATTTCTGTGATTCGTTGCTATTTGCATGCATAGTGTAAAATAAGTTTGGGGAAGTGATTTTGGTTAAAAAATATGCCCTAAAGTAAAATTAGATATCTAAAAATATTAAAAAAAAAAGGTAGACTTAATTAGAATTAGTATGATCTAGTAATAGGTAAAAAGAATAAGATGTGACATGAAATTTCATTATGTTTTGAAAACTATTAGTGATCATTCACAAATGACCGATATTTAACTATAATTAATTACTCTTCTATGTAAGGATTTTTAAATAATTATACTAAAATTGATTATAGATAAAAATACTTCATCAAATATATAAGATTTAGTAACTAATCAATTCAAAATTTTAATTCATAGTTAGAGTCTCTTGATAATATTTTTAATTAAGTTAGGAGATATATGAGAATTTGAATTAGGAAAGAATTGATATTCAAAATCATTAAGGAAAGCTTAACTAGATATAATAATCCTCTCTGAATGTTAAAAGAAAATTTTAAAATCATAAGAAAGTTTTTTTAATAAGACTCAAGTTCTAAAGAAAAATTTTAAGACCTTAGAGGAGAAACTTGAGGTTAAGCTTAAATTCAAAAACTATTACCAATCTTCCTTTCTAAAAGTCAAAGGATAAAAAATCTCATTAATTTTAAATTCAAAATATTATATTTAAGAAGATAATATCTGAATTAATAATATTTAGTTGATTTGTCAAATTTTGTTATATAAATTTGAAAATAATCTTATTATAGTAACCAAACATAATTAGTTTAGGGGAAGTTATTTAGAAAGAATGTTAAGATACACTATGTTATGATATTAGATGTTTATGAGAAAATTCAATCTTAGGAATAGATTTGTTACCCAGAATGGTTTTTTTAACTCATTTTTAAACAACACTGCAATTCTAGGCTTCGATTTTCCATTAATTTTCATAGATTCTAACTTTATGTATTGAATTACTTAAGGACAAATAATGTTGAACTTTGGATGAATTTCATATGAAGAAAATGTGATACAATTTTTTCTATATTTTTCATTTTGTTTTGTGTAATTTATGTTTTTTTTGGGTATTTGTGGTTGTTTATGAATGATACAACTAGAAAGAAAAGATGGAAGTGTGGCATCCAACCTAGGAAGTGAGGTTCCCAAAGCGTGAAGGAGCCTTCATGAAGCCTTTCTTTTGTGTGAAAAGGCGGAGCAACCATAAGTGGCACACCAGGCCAGAAAGTGTGGTGTCATGACTTTTCCATCCGAACTGAGGACTCCGACGAGGGAATTTTCCCTCCGAATTACAGCAATACAAATGACTAAACTATAATGTACTATTTTTTTCAAGCAAGGATAATATTGTAATCTTCTTGTTGCTCCTTGTATCAACTATAAAAATGATGGTCTTTTCATGTAAAGGGGCTTTTGGGTTCCTCCCACTCGTAACATTTATTTTCAATGGAATAAAATGAGTCCATCTGCTAACACCCCGATTCGCCACCAATGAGATTAGTCTTCTCTCTCTCTCTCTCTCTCTCTCACTCCCGCTCTCTCTTTCTTTTTCTCTTTCTCACATGTTCTTCTTTCCTCGATCTCATACTCTATTCTTTGGGCACTGGATATATTTGGATATAATATATATATGCCGATTTAATAAATATAAGAAATCAATCAATGTTTAAAAAATCCAAAAAGCTAGCTTGATTGCCATAAATAAATACAAGAGAATATTTTTGTCCAAATATATTTCTAGTAAGCAAAATAGCGGTGGAATTTCCATTAAAAGATATGCTTCTGATGACAGTTTTGATCTTTTCTACACTCCAAATCACCCTCACAAAAAATTATAAGAAAATTGCCAAATCACTCCCCTTGGAGAACATTTTCAGATCGATTTCTCCATAAAAAAAAATTCAACTTTTGATGGACGTAACCTTGAGTTTTCTGACCAAAAATGCATTTTGCATCTCGTGTTTCTGAAACACTGTCAAAGTTCGTCTGACAAACCATAAGGCCATTTTGCCGGCTGAGAATCTTTCCTGTGGCCGCCACCTCCGCTCAAGCGCATTAAATCATTAAAAACTTCAAGTTTTGTTGAGTTAGAAAAAATTGCTTCTTGCATTAACGGAGTGCATTAAAATTATACGATGTGGAGATGCTAGCATTTCTTATAAGCTATCACACGAGAAATAATTAGAAATGAAGATTTATTTGATTGTATAATTAGTTGATACCAATGGCAAGTCCTCACATTTTCTTCATAAGGACACCTTTAAAATTGTGACATGAGACATTTATAAGTTAAAATTAGATGCTTAATTAATTCTTGTTTCATTATGAATTTTTTTTTGGGAAAGAATGAGTATATTTATAGGTCATTTGAAGTTTAAATATTAAGTTTAGAAGATATTTATATAGTTTTGGAGACTTTGTGATCATTAATGCTTGATTTTGGCATAAAATACTAAAACAAAAATAGAAGGCATTTACAATAGTTTTTAGGATTTAACCAAGAAAAAAAAAACAAAAAAATAAAATAGTTTGAAAATATTTATTATTTGAATGTAGAGATATACATTAATGATATAATATTTACTAAAATAATGAACATATTTTCAGAAATAATGATTAAAAAGGAGAAAATATTATGCAGTGTATCACATCGAGGTCAATTTGGATCGTCAGGACTTGCGATCACCGCACATAATATTTGCTCATTAAAAGATGAGGGCATGGCTTTAACGAATACTTTTCCTCAATAGCTACCACACGATAAATATAAATATTTGGAAATTAACTTAAATCAATTATATGATTTTTAAGCCTACATACCAAGCAATATAAAATATTGGATAGATTGCACCTTTAAAAGTAAAGCTGTTTGTTTGAATTTTTCTTGAAATTTGTATTTATTATATTTATTTTAACTTGAGAAAAACTAGGGAGACAATAAAATTTCAAAAAAAAAATTAATAATTTTGTTTTTGTAAAATATGAAATATGAAAATACCATTAATTAGGAATTTTTAAAAAAGGTTATCCACGTGCAAGGAAAATTACATAGAAGTGTCAAATATTAACTACTTTGTAAGTATGTAAAGACAATGATGAATGAAAATGTCTCATCACATATAATTCAAATTATGTTGGTTGACTACATATCCACTATTGTCGATATGTGTGCAAAACTAATCTCACTGCGCTAGTAGGATACATCAACCATGAGCAGTCCGAGGAAGGGTTTAGGAATGGCGGCAATCGTCACCCCACCCTTCAAATTCAAATTTTTACTTATATGAAATGTAAATTTGATCATTTATAGTTTTTGAAATATTAGATTTGTCCTTCGCAAAATATCAATTTTGTCTCTCTTGAAATATCATTCAGCCCTTCGTTGCCCTAGACCCTCCCTCGTTAGGTCTAGGGGGCAGTTTTTCCTACCTCAAAAGAGAGACTGATTTCGCCCCTAACATCAACCAAAATGCTTAAGTTTAATAGCATAGATAAATTATGGTTATATTAAAAATTAAAATTTATTTTTAATTTTTATGTGAATACATTTTTTAGCTTTTGTGTGCGTCACTCAAAATAATAATAATAATAATAATGAAAAAGAATAAATTATCTTTCTTTCGATGGGATAACATACACCCACATAAATGCATGTTTGTACATAAGAATGATTATCAATAATTAGCAACATGTCAAGGTCATTAGTTTGAAATCTGCGAAGAGCTTCAAGTGTGTTGTTAAAGTCTTTGAAATCACCTACTGACACATCATCATCTATGTGATTTCATTAATTCACATTGAAAAGGAGATTTCTTGTAATCTTGGGTCTTCTCATCTTCTTGCAATTAAAGCAAGTATATTTAGGCCCCCCCTCCATCATCCTTCTTCACGGACATGAATGGATTAAATCAAGTTTTACAAACAGTAAGCTTGCCCCTTCCATGACCTGCCTATAGTTTAACAATGATAGCCTCCCTCCTTTCTATATAAATACTTGTTTTAACGCCCCTACACAAAGAAGTTAAGGCTTCAATTCATGTATAAATATTTTCCACAACCAACCAAAGGGCCACAGGAATGCTCTTTGCCACCTAAAGCTGACGAAATCTGTTCATCTCTTCTTTCTCCTTTTTAGTTTCCTTATATTTTGGTGGAGCGAGAAGATATGGGATTGAGAGAGATAGAGTCTTCTCTTCCTCCAGGATTCAGGTTTCATCCAAGTGATGAAGAGCTGGTGTGCCACTATCTTTATAAGAAGGTAAACAATCATAAGATCGTTGAAGGAAAGATGGTGGAGGTGGACCTGCACGCCAAGGAGCCATGGGAGCTTCCAGGTTTTTTCTCTTACTCTTTATGTATTTATTTATTTTTACCTTGGATTTTATCATGTATTTCCTACTTTTTCTATTTTTTTTTAATTTTTTATTTTTTTCAGCTCGGATATTTCTGATTTGAATTAGATTGTTTAATATATATGCTTTTATTGCATGACTTATGGTAACTAATTCAAATTCATATGAAGAAGAACAATTCTTTTTTAAAAAAAAATTAACTTTTTTTAATATTCAACAAATTTTTTATTGCATATAAATAGTTTAAAAGACCTTAATTATTATTAATTTAGCATATTCTTAATTACTTTTACTATGTCACTGAAATTTATAAAGCATTTATGTTTGATGACTGTACACAAACATGCCCATACAATCAACATCTTCTCAACATAATCTCTGACAAATACTCATATTAGATCGAAGAAGATTACAATATTGTCCCAGAAATTAACGTCATGGAATAATTCCACATGATTCATTAGTCTTTATTAAACAACTTATAATATAAAAACCATCCTCCCTTTTAAAAGCATATAATATTAGTTATGGTTGCTGCAACTTCACCAACCCCCTAAACTTTATCTATTTTATTATTTATTTTATTCCCCCTTCCTTATTACTGTTAATGCCTTATTATTACTATATAAACCCCCTAAAGTATTAGAGCAATAATGTCTGCCTCAGCAACCAACATGTCCTTGTCTTGCTTTGGATAGACTGATACGCAATAATATACATTTAGATATATAGATTTTTAGTATTAAATATTTTTATGAGGTCTCTATTTGCGCATGAACAGCTTAGAATAAGACTAAATGATTGTAAATATTGCATGCAATGTTGCATTAGAACTAAATAGAGTTTTTTTTTTTCATTTAATCAATTTGGGCAAATGGAAACAGAGATGGCGAAGCTGAGTGAAAATGAATGGTACTTCTTCAGCTTTCGTGACCGCAAGTACGCTACAGGATTGCGCACAAATAGAGCCACAAAATCGGGTTATTGGAAGGCTACAGGGAAGGATCGCATGGTATACAATTCGAAGACGCATAGAGTTGTTGGGATGAGGAAGACATTGGTATTTTATCAGGGACGAGCTCCTAATGGCATGAAGACAAATTGGGTGATGCATGAGTTTAGATTGGAGAATCTTCATACTCCTCCCAAGGTACCAAATAATTTTCTTTTTTAAGTATGTGGATAAATTAATATAATTGTTATTTTGATGATAATTGGAATGGGTATATATAGATAAGAGAGATAGAATTAAGTAGATTATATGGACATGCAAGGTTGGATAAATTTACATAATGACATGATGTAAGGCTTTGGTGCGTGCACCAAATTTTTTTCATTGAACTTATGTGATAGTTTTAATTGTTTGAGAGTGCTATATTGCTGTGCAAATTATAGATTTTGTTCATTATTAGAGCTTAAAAGTTTTTAAGGAAGCCATTATATTTTGTTCATTCAATATGTATTTTGAAAATCAAATGATATTATATAAGTTTTCATTAGATTTTTATTATATTTTTAAACTATTTTGATTAATGTGTGGCTAAAAATGTGGTTTATTAAAGTTTATATTTTCACGTTTGTATGAAATTGTTTGGCTACTAAAATCTATAGATATATAAGCAATAGTAGCATGTTTAAAGAAAATTGTAATTTTAAAGTTGAATGTAATGAAAAAGATGTTACTTTTAGTGAAAATTTTAAAAACCAAAATGAATAAAAGATAAATATGTAATTGTACTTTTCATAGGAAGTTTTAGCTAATTTAATATGTCTTTTTCTCTATTTCTTTTGATGACAGGAGGATTGGGTGCTATGTAGGGTTTTTCATAAGAGGAAAGGGGAGCCAATAAAAATTGGGAATAAGAATATTGTTGAACAAGAAAACAATTTATCTTCTGGCTCATATTTGGAGATATCTGCAAATGATCATATGGAACAGCTAGCCAATGTATCTGATGGATGCCATGGAGATATGGGGTCATCAATCCCCCTTGTCCCTTACCAAGAAGGAAATAGCCCAAACACCTTTCTTAATTTTGCAGTTTTGCAATATAACTTCTTTGATTTCCCACATGAGATAATGATGGGAAACACAGATGTGATTGGAATTGATTCAAGACATGGTGGTGGAGGAGATGAGATTAGCTTTCTTTTGGATGTGGGATTAGATGAATATGAACATGCGAATGGGGAAGGAGGAGGAGCTAAACTGATGAGCAATATGGAAGCAAGCTTGAGATGCCATGATGGGAAAGATGGAATGGTTTCATTCTGATTAACTTTGATTTAATTAAGAAAAGTTGAACTATGTGTTGTATACTTATATTTAAGATTCAGATGTAGATAGATTTGGATTGGTGGAAGTAACTATTTTAATTTAAGATTATTGTTGTTGTTCATGAGTTAGAGTGTAAAAAAAATTAATGGTTGTGTTGTTTGTTAATTTCATAGATAAAATTAAAGAATCATGTCATTTTAGAAACATAGAGAAAAAAATGATATCTTTGGAATTTATTTTGCATGTTTGGCATCAGCTAATACCCAAGATAATTAAGTTAAAATAGGTAAAAATAATATTTTCAAAACTAATTAATTATGATTTTTTTTCATATTATTAACATGAAAGTTAAGCTGACCACATGCTTTCTAGAGAAATATTAAATATTATTTTTAGTAATTTTCCTATAAGTTTTAAGAAAAAACCAGCTTAAATTAGCCACACTCTGATTTGAGTTTATATGTTCCAAAATATTTAGCCATGAAGTTATGGAAACTTTCAACATACACGCGATAGTCAATCTTTTATACAGAAATATGACTAAGATAAATATGTAGTTAAGATTGTCAATTTTATTCATAATTCATAATAAGTCTGAATGATTAAATGTTAGTAAATTTAAAGTAAAAAATGCACATTATTTAAAAAGGTTACAAGTATTATAATATGTTTGGTGAACATCATCATCAGAGGCAATGTTTAAAACTCTAACTTGTACTAGATATTAATGTACGTATATTGGTTTGGACATTTCTTATTCATATGGATAAGAATGAACATTCTTTTCCCAAATGAATTTTAAGTCCTTCAACTTCAAATATGTGATCAAAGTTAGATATTCTATTTAATATCAATAAAATTTGTAGCTTGCATGCATACTTTCAAAAAATTCATACCATCTAATTGTTAATCAAATATTTTATTTTTTTAATAATTTATGAATTTGATTTGATGAAAGATAATTATGATTTTAAAATATAGAAACACTGTATTGAATTAAAATTAAATGCTGATATTTTAAAATATACATTTATGACCTATATATAAATACATATATGTATACCATGATATTCATATGTAAAATTTATTAGAATTCTAAGACATATATTTATTGTAAGAGCTTAATTAGAAAGAAAATTAGAGTATTAGTGTGGCCTATTTGTAAGGATGGCATGCATAAAGCAAATATAGTCTATATTTTTTAAATATAAAAATTAATGTACCTTGAATTTGATATTAAATATAGTATTCTTTTTCGCCCATTTAGAACACCTTCTCTGCTTGCAATCTAATTTTTTGAATCACAATGCCCTTCACTCACTTGGCTCGGTTTTTGGTCTTCATCTCAAAATTTTCCTTGCAATTACCTTTTACTCTAGGTGGTCTATTGTTAGGGTCTTAGTGGATATTCGATATATATTATACATTTTTAAAAAAAAAATGAGTGGGATAAAAAAATAATTATCATTTTTAGAAGACAAAATTAGATAAAATTTTGGTCATCTTGGTACAGTATTTTAAGTTTAATTGTATCTAAGGAACAATAATAAGGAAATTATATCTTAGATGGTGAATAATTTTAATTGTCAATTTTAACCAATGTGAAAAATGCATTTCCCTTACAATTATATGAAATTGTATGGAATTACCATATATTAAAAAAACAAATTAACATAGAAGGTTCAAGTCTAAGAGCCAAGCACTACTTTCCCTTGCCAAGATTGAAGTAGCTAGTGGAGCTTTTGTAGCATGAAATGTAACTTTTTTTTTTTCAAATGTTAGTTTGCTCTGTTTAAATTGATTTTTTGTAATATTCTTCTTTTTGGTGGTTGTTTATCTTCAAATGATGATCTTCCTTACATTGAACATTCCCCATTAATTAAACTTATTTTGGAACAACCCTATAACACTTAAGGTAGTGTCTCTATTATTCTTTATGGTAAGGTTGATTTTATAAGACTGTAATCTTCTGTTCTCTAAGAAAAAAAAGGGTGTCTTTAAATACTAAAATGTTTATTTTCTTAGTCACTTAATGAGCTATAATTTTAAAATTACACTCTCAAAATTATCATTAATTAGGAGCAAAAAAGCAATGTTGAGAAGTGCACATATGGGATTTCAAGAGACATAAGAGTTGATTTTTTTTTGGGTTCACTTTGGTTCTTCAAATGTGACAATAGTTTGAATTAAATTTTCTAATACATTTGTTAATATTTGCACGAAACCAAACTACTTTATGAAAACTAACAGATATCTTGAATTTAATGAGAACTCAAAAAAATTTTAATTTAGATAACGAGGCAAAGGTTGAATCAATTTTCAAGAGATGACCAAATATTATCATAGTTATAAAGTATTAGGTCTCATTAAAGGAACATACAAACATTGGAAAGATGGCCCAATAAGAATGACAAGGTTCACCTCATTAGTTTCATCTAATAAAGATGATTTATATTCAAATAATTCTTCTAGAAATAATAATTGTAGTCATCTTTATAATAGAGTCTAATGAACACTTTCTTATGGTCTAGTAGGCCAACATAGAAAGAAGTTTATATCCTAAAGCAATGAAAAAAAATTCAAGAGTATATAAAGGAAGACGACCAGAATGATATTTATTAAGTAGGGATTATTCAAATAGAGCATCCAATTTCATAAAGACACATCGGAGCAAAATGCAATAGGCTTACCAATTGAAATTAAGTGGTTATAATGATGCTAATGATCATCATTTCATCATTAGCATAGACTATCTTTAACGGAAATTCTTGATAGAGGAAATGGTCATTGAATAAGAATTAAAGCATCGAGATGAGAAGTATCATTGGATTCCTCGAAGAGAGATTACTAGCATGACCAATTGGCTTGAAAATAGCTTAATAATTACTTGTGGCATGATTTTTCCAAGTAAGAATAAATAAGAGTGTTTCAGAAATAAGAAAATGTTAGCGCCAAAGGAAGAAAAATTGATGAAATGATGATCATTAGCTATATGGCATATTTGAAAAAGATTTAGGAATTTCAATAATTTAATTCACGTCCTTAGCAGTTCGCTCTTCATTCAATTTTGTTTGCCTCTTCCTATCACGTACTCTCACTCATCGACTTCATTTGGATCATAATATACCTCTATTATTGGAGAAAATTTTACGTCCGGACATGCGGCCAACCACCGGGCGCGACGTCGCCATGCACGCCAACGCCGGGCGACCGTGGCGCCCGGCGGTTGGCCGTCCGGACATTCGGACGTCCAAACGTAATATTATTTCCTATTGTTGATTATGCGTCTCTATCAAGTAATCTTTTTATGCTCTACCTCATAAATACTTTAAAATAGATGAATACTAATATTTTTTTTATCAATATTAATAAATTTTGTGTTACATTAATTAAAATCCCCCATTTTGATTCAGTTTAGCATAAACTATATTTAAGAGAAATTAATACATTTTCATTTCTATCACATTAAACCATTTAATATCTATATTTATGTTGTCTAAGAATATGTTATGTCTTAAACTACATTTTGTGTAGATATCCATGAATTTTTGTCTTGTGTTTGATTAAGTGAAAAAGTGTGCACAAACATTAAAATTCCAAAAAACATATAGTATTACATTCAATGGAATTTGTAAATATGAATTCGGAGCACCAGTATGTAAAGTCAGATGTTTATAGATAAACATCCTGGTAACTTCCAAGGCAAAGTGTCACTTCACACAACTCCTCTTCAACCAAACAACAAAGCCAGTCAATTTCCCAATCCTTGAATGCAGCCAAACAAACAGTCCCCCAACATTTTGATCCTCCACTGTTCCCCTATTTATATTTTGGAGCTTCCCTTGCATCCTCTTTGTACATATAAATGTCACCATGACGCACATGGCCATGCCTATCTCCCTCCAAAAAGAGGACCACATTAGCTAGCGTAGATTTCTTGTAAACTTATGCATCAAGCGGACCACCATTGTCATGAATTTTGTTCTGAAAATCTTTTGGTGAGTGGACCACATGTCAACCTCTAGGGTTTGCCACTTACCTTCCCTTTTTATCAGACTAAAGAGTTCCTTCAGCTTTAGTTATAGGTTTCAAAGACTTCAGCGTAGTTGAGCTAAGAGATGAGAAAAGGAGCCAACTTTAACTTCGAAGTGGTGACTACTTGCAAAAAAATAAAATAAAAAATCAAATTTTGATGATATTTTAGCGGCAAGTGTTGGGTTTCATGGCAGCACTGCTAGGTTTCTTCCAGCAACAGTATTGCTTTGTTGGTGAGTTGGATGTGGACAAAAAGGTGATGGAAAAGAGAAGCCATAAAGGAATTGTTTATTGGTTTCCGCTTGGTTTCTTCTTCATTTTGTGAGGCGCAAAAACTGGGATTAAAATCTAAGGCTTGAGTCAATTCACTACGATAGTAGGTAATCTAATCAGGCTTCTTTAGAGCTTCCTTCTGCTTCACTCTTTGCTAGGTGCGTTGCTCTCGCCCTCTGGTCTTTAGCTTTAAAAAGTATCAAGCACAAGTTAAATTTAAGATGGAGCTGCCACATGAAACAACTCATTTATTTACGGAAGATAGAACCTTAAAAAAAGAAGAAATATTGGAGAAAATAATGTGTGGAAGATTCAATATTAATCCAAGGGATATAAGTATTAGAGATTCTTTAGATGGATGTTCAAGATATGCATGATGATTGAATACTTTATTAGAGAGAAAAGGGTATTTCAGATTAAGTTTAAAGTGGAAGAGGAGAGAAAAACTAATGCTATTTAGCTTAAAGTAGAAGTTGTGTTATGCCTATGCCGAAGCCTTGACCCTATTATTTGCATGTGAAGGCAAAGGTTGGTGCAACAAGAAATATTAAATTAGAAAATTAGAAGAAATTGGACTGAGTATAACTTGTTATGCAATGAAAGTTTTTTAATTGTCTAATTAATGAGAATGGCTAGTGATCTCCAAGTTCAAAAGAGTTATATTTGATGAGCTCTTCGGCTAAAAACCATTAGTTGACCAAGATTTTTTTTTTATTTTTTGCAAGGGCTTAAATTCTATGGATAAATGCTTGAACACAACATTTTGGGATTCCATTTTTTGTTTCCAATCAATGTGCTAT